ACAGTAGATGTGGCGGCAGTTCAAAGAAAAGAAAAGGCCAGGTCACGTGGACAACAGTGTGCAGAAAGGTGTGAAATGACATCGTGTTAGACATCAGGAAGCACCAGTGATCAAGAGCGTTTAGTCGCCGGGAGGTTCGGGTCTACAGACTGGAAAAGTTCCGATCTCCCTAAAGCTCACAGGACGCTCAGTTTTATCAGCTGAACAACGTCCTCCTGTTCTGCTGCATCTCAGAGGAAAACATTACATTTATCTGATGGCTCTAACGTTGTGATGGCGTCACTTTGGGCTCTGGGTAAGTGTGACCGCAGAATCTTTACTAACCGAACAATCGATCGATGGAGGAAATAATGAGCAGATTGATCCAGAATGAAAAGAATCATCAGCTGCAGTCTGATACTAGTTCAACAACTACAGCAGCAGCATCCTGCTTTACATAAAATAAGACTCTGATGAGGGAATATATAATAGTACAACAGGTACATTTTACTGCTCTGATACTTTAAGGACATTTTCATGATTATACTTTGACTGAAGGAACATTTTCAATGCAGGAACAGAGTATTTTATACTGTGGTATTAGTACTTTATTGAAGTAAAGGATCTGTGTACAGCACAGAGTGCTTAGAAATTGTGTGTTAAATTAAAATGACTCAGAACTACAGACTTTTTCCCTCCACGTGGCCCCTGGACTAAAAAGTGTGGCCCCGACCCAGAGATTGAATTAGTTTCCTGTTTACACTGACGACTTGTACAAATCATCAGATGTGAGTGGTAACAAGACGTTAGCTGGCAGTGTGGACCGTCCTCCTTCTCCTCAACAGGCTCCTTGTTCAGCCTGCGAGGGCCCTGCTGACTGAAGCCTTTTGTCCCCTGAGCCGAACTCTGGACCGAGCAGAAAACAGGGAGGGAGGGAGAGGAGATGAATACGGAGAGACACAAGCTAGACTCAGACACACAAACATTTACTACAACGTGTCATCGTGTTACTGTAGTATTTTATCTTCGAACAAAGAAGCTCAGATTCAGATCTGTTTGTTTTTTAACATGTCCAGAGATGAAGCGCTGCAGATATCTGCAGGATGGACATAGCAGAGGGTCGGGCAGCAATACTAAAGGCTCTGTCTCCGAAGGGACAGAGTCTGGTGAGGGAAGGAGAGCAGATTCCTGGGTGGGGAGGATGGAGGAGGTCAGAGAGGTACTGTGGGGCATGGAGGGATTCAAAGGAGAGAAGGACTTGATTGGGAGCCAGTGAAGGTGGATAAGAGTTGGGGTGACGTGCTGCCAGGTTTTGTGGGGACCACATGCAGGACACCATTGCAGTGGTGCAAACGAGAGGTTATTACAGCATGTTTCTGCCATGGAGTGAGAGAGTGACGGCTGGTGGATGAAGGCAGATCAGGTGATATAAGGCCGGAAAGAGAGGGAGGAGTCCAGGATGACACCAAGGTTGTAGACCTCAGAGGATGGGCAACAGTACGTCAACATATAGGATGAGGTCTCTAACCTTCTGGAGCAGCGCCTGCACTTCTGTTTGTTTGAGTGGGTTTGCTGACATCCAATTCAATCCAATTCAGGGTTCAGTATCTTCAGACACTTCGACATGCAGCCTGGAGGAGGCGGGGCTTGAACCACCGATCTTTCGATTAACGGGCAGCCTGCTCTACCTTCTGAGCCACAGCCGCTCCATGTGGGTCTATCATGTTCATCCTCTTAGTTTAAAGGTACTTTCTTTGTCACATGATCAAACATGCAGCGACATCCATTCTCTGCATTTAACCCGTCCCTGAAGGGAGCAGTGGGCGGCCGCTGTACAGCGCCCGGGGACCAACTCCAACGAATGCAGTGTCTGGTCAATGGCACTGACTGAAGAACCTAACATGTTTTTAGCCTGTTAGCATGCGGGCATTGGCTAATTTGCAGTTAACACAGAGTGCAGCTGAGGCTGATGGGAATGTCACGGCTCAGCAGATGTTTGGACACGTTAACATGTCGGCCTGATGATTCTCTCCACGTTCTCAGTCATCCAGGCCATAGTTCTCAAAAGGAGGGTTAATATCGAGGGTGACTGGACTGGTCCCTGTAGGTGGGGTTAAACAGCTGAGACCACCTACCACCCAGTCAGAACTGAAGAAGTCCAGCTGTCCTTGATTTTAACCTTCCTTGGATGAAAGCGTGAACCACATTTCATCCCCATCCATCCGACAGCGGCTGAGACGTCTCAGTCTGGACGCTGCCGACGAGGCTGAAAGGGAAAAGACTTCATGTCGCGGCTCTGATGTGACATGGATCTGATGTGGAATGTGAGTCTGGGTCAGTGTACCCTGAACATCGATGGGTTAATCCCTCAGTGTGCCCTAACGATGATGAAACACACACACACACTGCTGTTGACTCTGACATAATCTCCTTACATCATCAGCGAGCCTCGTCTCTCAGGATAAACGGATGCAGAGAATTTTCTAGCACTGAAACGTTGCTCTTCTTAATCTTTTGTAGTGATTTTAAAATGTGGCCGACTTTAAGCTTCAATAAACGTTTTCTAACAAACCCGTGCTGCTAAAGGTGGCGTTGACATCTTGTTGTTAAGCAGCTGAGCCTCCGTCTTATTCAGTGACTGGGCGTGTTTACGTGGGCTTTAGCGAGGGGCAAGTTATACATTTAAAAAAGTAGGTTATTACTGAACACAAGAAACATGAAATGATGCGTTCAATTTCTCTCTGTGTGTTCATGATTCACACTGACTGTTTCCAGGCACAGAGTCGGCAGACAGCGGCCTCGGAGACGTGGACGACCTGCCAGTTCCTCAGCAGATCCGGATCAGCAACATCACCTGTGACTCGTTCAAGATCAGCTGGGACATGGACAGCAGAGGCACGGAGAGGATCACGCACTACTTCATCGACCTCGACAAGAAGGAGCACAAGAACTCCAACAAGTTCAAACACAAGGTGGGTACGACCCAACGTCTGACCCGCTGCAGGAGCTGGAGTCTGATCAGCCTGACTTTTCATGACTCTTGGGTCAGTCCAAAGAGAGGAAAATCTCAGGAGATGCCTGCAGCAGATTGTTTGGCTTGAGATCACAGTGACATTCGTGTCACTCTATAAAAAAAAGAAATGAAAAATCACACTTATAGCTGTGGGTTAAAATCACATTTACCCCTCTGTCTGCTCTCCCCCCCAGAGAATCAGAATATTGTGAGGTGTGAAAGTAGTTTGTGGATAAAGAGAAACAGCCTTGATGATTAAATGCTGCCCTACCTGAAGCAGTGGCTGAAGGTGAAGAGCTGGCAGCATCAGCTGTGTGCGGAGCGATGACGAGGCTGGAACCTTCCTCACATTAACACGTGAAGATAACGTGTTAGTCAGCCGTCTGAAAAACTGGGGTTTGGGGCTACAACGCCGACAGGAGAGCGGATGAGGTCCAATATAAAGGTGACTTTATATTACAGAAGCAGGCAGTCCAAACAAAAACACAGTAACCACAAGTGAGAAAGTCTAACTCCAAAGAGAAGCGACCAGAAACCCAGAGAATAATCCAGAACCAGGGGTTGGTACCATCCTCCGAGTAGAACAACCAGCAAGTGAGAGGTCACGGCCAAATAACATACACAGGTGAAAGCACTAGACCTTTTCCCATGTCACCAGTAAATCTTTAAACCCAAGAAATAAAGTTTTATTTACTACAAACAATCAGCTCCACCAGCTGTTTATCTGCTATCAGCCAATCAGCTCGTGTTCTTCTCACATCCACATTTTCTTTGCTCCATCTTCTGGAAACTTGGCTACTTGTCTAATCTCCATTCACGGACAGTAAGACATCCTGCGCTCTTTGTCTTTCAGGACGTGCCCACTAAGCTGGTGGCGAAGGCGGTTCCCCTGCCGATGACGGTGAGAGGTCATTGGTTCCTGAGTCCTCGCACAGAGTACACCG